GATGTGCCTCCCGAGGAACGGACAATAAATTCCTGAAGGAAACTGACCATGATTGTTTGTCACCTGGTAGTGATGCACAATATGATACTACCAACTCTGTTTTCCTCATTGAATTTCCGAATAGGTGTATCTTTGATGCTTCCTGTGAGACTTTTATGTCGACTCACTGAGGTGGTATATAGTGGACTCCCTGTCCAGTCAGACTCGCAGCTATGTTCATTGAGATCTTCGCATTCACCATCACCAAATGAAAGTGGAGTGGTGGTCCATCTCCCGGTTTCACTGTCTTTCGTCCAATGCGGAAGCTAAAGAGAGAGGAGTCGAAAGGGGAAATGGGCAGACACAAACCTTGTTACCACGTTCTTTATAGCTTCTTTCGTACTTGGGAATCCTTTTACTGCCACTATGGGCAGAAAGAAGTCCTTGTCACCGAGCACCAACAAGAACTTTAACTCCTTGGGGTGCCAAGGAAGAATAAATGGGAACTACGTAATGTGCTCCAACTGTATGTGTTTATACCGAGGACGCAGCCGGTTGTTTTCACCGTTGCCTTCCTCCTTGATTTCTTCCTTGTTGCATATGTCATTGTGGGAAGACGATATTAAAAAAGTCAATTTTCCCTTCTTCTTCTTTTTCCTCTCGTGTAGATTCTGCTCCTCCCCCTTCGCCAACTCTCCTCGTCTCAACTAGGGCCAGAAGAGTGGACATGTTCAACTTGCCTAGATCACGCATGATGTGATCCCTGTGGAACTCACTCGGTCTTGCCGTTGCATTATGTACATCCGAATTGTAAGTTTCAATCCTGCTTCCTTGTCCTGTGTTTGTTATTGGCATCTCAATGAGGGCTAGCACTGTGTTTTCCTCTGCTCGGTTCTCGATGCCGAATTATGGATTGATGTGCATTGTGACAAACGATCGGTGGTCCGGAGATGACGCTTGAATTGTGTATTCATCGGGTATCAAGACCGACTTACTCATGTTTGCATAGGGTGAGTCAGATACTCCGATCTCATTCCCCAGTGTGCTAACTTCCTTCTGTCGTTGTCTCGCCTTGCTGAGCCGTCCCAAGGGCTGCCGATTGATAGGTGTGTTGGCCTCACCGCCATAGTTGTCGTCGGAATCGAGGTGTGGGTGGATGGAACTTGCATTGTTAGTTGTTGAGAGGGGCCAACCATTGGAGGTGGTTGTCCACCTGGTGGTGGTTGGAGGTTACCGGCTCGAACATTCGAGGCGACTGTCATGTGCGAATATGCCACTAGCGCTGCTGAGTTTACGTCATTCATTGATAACACTAGAGCATGATTATTTGGAGGATGGTGCTGTTGTCCCAAAGTCGGCTCTGGATTTTCATACTCTCCCCCTCTTTTGTGTTGTCCAGGCGGTCTCGCACCTCTATTCCTGCCATTGCTTGCTTGACCTCTCCCCCAACCACTGGCGTTGTCTCCTACATTTTTAGCTCCTTGTCTCGTACCTTTACCCCCTCGCCCCCTACCTCTGCGTCCTCTTGCTCTGCCCCTTCTTCCTTCCAACATGATCGGTTCCTGGAATCTATGACATTCCGGGTCGAATTCGTCATGGAACCACCACAAGCATTTGCTGCAGAATGGGGTATCCTGATTAGCGAATTGGATTTCTAGATGGCCTCCTGTGTTTTTTTTAACAAATAGTACCCACTCCATGAAGGTCAAACGTATCTCCGAGACACAATCAATCTTTATATTACCTACTGTAGGTTCGTCTTTTCTCCTATCAGGAGGGCGCATGGTCAAAATTCGGCCCATGAGGTGTTTTACTGCAATGCCATAGCGGAGGGGAGGTAGAGCTTCCAATAGAACCCTTACTGGAATAATCCTAAATTTCCCTGCCGATTCTCTATCTCTCATTTCGTCAAACTCTCGCTTCGCTATCCATGCCTTAAACAGGACCTTAATTGTTCCATTACGCGTTGGTATCCTATCGTTCCCCTTTGAAACCAACCATTTTGCTATCGTTTCTGACCACTTATGCATCTTGATACCATGCATCTTCATATATCCGAATTAGCTATTCTCTCTAGGGCACCTTAAAAGTAGTCGAGGGTTCATCAAATACTACAATTATAGTGTGAGCTTTCAGTCAATTCACTGTAGAGGTATTGACCTTGTCGCTCAAGGTGAGGACGCCGACTCCATCTACTATCTCCGTTTCCCCAAAGTTGATGTTAGTTTCCAAAAAGAGGCCATCGTCAAAACAAAGGTCTAACAGGGGCCAAATACGGCAAGGGTAATCTCCGTTCAATGGCAGGGAGGGGGGGGGGGGACCTCCCCTACCCCCTCCTCCCACATTGAGGTAGACATATGATTCCATTTCGGTAGGATTTCAGCGGAGCTAGCGCCAAGCAATGACTAGTCAGTGCACCTCCCCTTACCCCACCCCTCAACCACACATGGCGGTGTCTAATGGGGAATACTTTCCATCATTGTGCCACTGCAAGCGTGTTTAGGCCTCGCTCCACTACCGTCGCCTGCATGCCTGCAGAAGTTCATCTGCATCTATGTAGAAGTTGCTCTCTCACCTATGTCCGCCTTCTTGTCTAACCCTACAATCTCTAACTTGGTTGTTTCTTTCGAGGCTGATTGTTTAGCTTCAACTCCAACCCTAGCATAATGTAGTCTTGTTGTTCGCTTCAAGGACGTGAATGTTAGGGCGTCACGCCATTCCCTCATTGTATTCATCAACTCATGGTATCTCCTGGCTCCTGGTCACTGACCTGCCTCCATGCCTCCTCCATCCAACATGGAGTTTGACCCGGCCATAGCCTGGTAGGCGTCGGCGGTATCCTGGGCTTCGGCCTCGTGCCGAGTCCGAGGTCAGTGACATCGGTCCTCCCGGAGCGATAGCGCATCGTGGAGCGCTCCTGCGCTCAACCGACACGCCTGTCCCCACCGTTTTTTTGAGAGTACACGGAGAGTAGTGCACGGAGAGTAAGTGGAGCAATGACAATAAATCCAGGGAAATTGGAGAGTCTGACAACTCTCCGCTTACTCTCCGATTTCCAGGAGAGTAGAGAGTTGTGCAGCGAGACCGTACAACCAATATAACACAAGGCCTCCCTCCGCTACTGTCCGCTGTACAAAAACGGACAGTCGGACAGTCCAACATCGCTCCACTTCCTGTCTGCGAAATAGCTTTGACAGTGGTCAGAAACCCCCTGTAATGGAAAATCGACTGTCTGTGAATATACAACCCACAACCTGCAAAATTTGTTTCGTAGAAAGTCCTTCAAGGAACTCACCGTGAGGACCCCAATTTGGAGAGTGTACCTTGAGTCTGGGCGGACAAAACCCTATGGACGCCCTGTCTAGGGTCTTGTAGAGGCCAGTCACTGAGTGCACAATGATCACTTGGAGTTGTGAGCCATGGGTGTCCAGGAATATGAGACCACCTCCCATCCCATCCTCACGTCAATACTCCTAGCGCACCCCCTATCCCACTATCCTACCTCAGTGTGACCCGCACTCAGGACCATTGCCCTACCAATGGGTCGGCAACTTGGACCGAACAGCAGTGATAAGCACCGGGGCTGATAAGCTGCCCAGCCCTGGTGGAAGCGAAATCGGATGAACGTTGTCGAACGGGAACTTCGGGCGTCAGGCCCAGTCAATCTACCACAGGTCCCAATATATGGCCACCAGACAGTTCTATCCGAATGTCAGTAGGAACCGGCCCCAGTGGCACCCTATCCAACCAACCTGAACCTACTGCAGATACTAGACCCTATCCAGTGACTAGACCCCCCCAGCCTTGTGTATGGAGCCCATAGGCAATGTGTAGTTCTATGTTATGTCCGAAGGCTATATATATGTGTATGTAGCCCGTAGGCGATATATAGTTCTATGTTATGTCCGAAACCTATGTGTGCATCATGTGTG